CAGTGTGGCACAAAGGTTGGTGGCCGGTGGGACCGCAGGGACACGCGGCAAGGCACATGGGGCTGGCATGCTGCCGCCCCAGCTGCTGGCTGCCAGGTAGCCATGGAAACCTCCTGGCAGGATGCTGCACCGATAAATAGCCAATTTGAAGTGATTTTCCTCAAAGAGCTTTTTTCCCCTGTATTTTTTATTATACAAAGTCTCAGGGATTTTTTTTTTAGGTTTACCTTTGCTTATTTTATTGTTTCCCTTTATTATTTTTCTTTATTTTGTCACCTGTTTCTTTATTTTTTTGTCATTTTTTTCTTTATTATTTTTCCTTTGATTCAAGGCCTGGCCTCCATGAATACTCAAGACAGAGGTTTGACATCTCTCTTGTCTTCAATAAGCCAAAGCTCATTGCTATTTCAGTGGCAGCCCACATGGAATTGGGGTGGCATCATTTAAGAGGTTCAGGGCAACATGTCCATGGAGCTGCTGCTCACCTGGGTATGTGTTTAGGTGGGATAAATACACGTGTGCACCAGAGGGTGTATGAGTGTGTTTAGACGCATGGTAATGCATGGAATTGCAGATCCAGGCACGCCATGTCAGTGAAAGCATACCTTGGGCTCATACACACAATATGGGATCACAGCCCAACACAGGCTCCTCAGGAATCTCCCAGCAGGGGAACAAGGGCAAACAGAGATTTTGGAGTCCTGGTGAACCAGAGACAGATGTCATCCATAGTGGGTGGGCAGAGCTGTGCCTGCTCCTCTGCAGCTGGACCCATGTCTGGTGCATCTGGGTGTAGGGCTGGGTAGGGGATGGGTGCCTGTAGGACATATGGCACATCCATGTCACTGCTTGGAGCACCGTGGTCATTAAGCCACAGCTTGATTCATAGGGATTTCACTGCCTTAACCTGCAGAACCTGCCAGGGTCTTGTCTGTAGTTCAGGGAGCAGCTCTGAGCCTCCACCTGGAGAAGAATGCTCCAGGGAGGCTCCAGAGATGCTTCAGATCCCTTCTGTGACCCTTCTACAGCCCACAGAGACACTGAATGCCCCCCATCCCTGAAAAACTCATCCCTGTTTCTCCCCGCCCCTAGAAGTCTCGGAGCATAGAGGGGAGCAGGGCTGTCACCCAGGGGACATGCAGCAGCCAGGATCCTGACAACTCAGCAATTATATGTATCTGCCTGTCCCGCATTGCACACATCCTAGCCCCAGGGGACCCCAGCTGGGCTCCATGCCCAGCCCTGGACAGGGATGTATCAGGGATATCTCTGGGCTGACAACCCAGAAGCGCTGCTGTTCCGATATTAACGAAGAGATTGAAAGCTCTGTTATTTTTAAATAAATGCAAATTAACATCTACTTAATGGAGAAAGACAAACGCAGCTCCTCGTCAGAGCCAGTGCCATGACAGTGATGGATCAACAGCCATCAGCCAGAGCATCCTTGTTCAGGTGTTGGATCCACAAGCTCTGGGATGCAATGACACCATTGGCCTCCACTGGGAAGAGGGTTGCCAGATGGCTGTGCCCACTGGTCCCTGTGCCCACTGGGAAGGTCCCCCTGACAGGGAAAATCCCAGTCTGGCTCTCACCTCTGTTACCCATCACCCTCTTGCTTTAGTCATGTCTCCTTGACCAGCTCTGGCCATGCAGGCCAAGGGCAAACATCCCTTCCTAAACACTTTCTCCATTCTCCCAAGGTTCTGAGCTCCCAACATCTGTAACCTGCGATGTGGCATTGAGTCCCTGGCACTGCCAGCACCTCATGGGAATTGGGAGAGGCAGATCAGAACCCCCATCCCATGGGGCCCTCCAAGGCACAACACCACCGCAGCCTTTCCTCCCCCTGAACCAGCCCAACATTTATCTAGATATTTAAATTTCCTTCATTTTTGTTATTTAGCCTGCTGGTGAGTGGGTGGCTGCCAGGGAGGAAGTTGGGAGTGGACAGAGCAGGGGGAGGGGGGAGAGCACTGTGAAGGATAAAAGGCTTCAAGCAGCTGGGCCTTTCCTCTGCCCCTTCAATTTCTGCTTTTAAAACCCTCCCATGGGCTCTTCTCTTCCTTCTCCAACATCCAGAGCCCTTTTCCATAACTGGGTCAGGCTGAAAGTGGAATGGAGCATGGGGAATGGGGTTCCTGTGTCAGTTTGGGGAGTGGTAGATTTCCTCAAATCCTTCCCCAGCCTGATCCCATTTTCTGGAATTGGTAAACTGATAGCTGAGGGATGTGGTGAACCCCTTGGGAGCATCCTGACTGTGTTGGCAGCCACATGCTCTGATAAAAAAAAGCATAGATGGAGAAAAGGCAGGAGGCAAGGAAAAGAGAAAAATAATGGGGAAAAGGCTGGAAAAAGCCAGTGACAGCTTAATTGGACTGTTGATGAAATAATGACTGGTTTAAAGTCTGCTGGAGTGTGGCTGATCTCTAATAACCCAGGACCTGATAACCTGCTGAATTCATTACTGAGGGGGGAGGGGGAGTGCAGGGGTAGAAGCCACTCAGTGGGATGCAGAGTGATGGGCTGAGCTGCTGTGCATGCAGGATGCAGGGCAGAACCCCTGGAGACAATCCATACTGGTGCCACGGGGTAATTCTGGCATCATGCTGGGCTGTCCAGCCACCACCTGGCTCCTCCTCAGGGTACCCAGGATAAGGAATGTCCTCACAATTCCCAGGAATGGCAGCACTCAGGGCAGGCAGCACCTCAGGGCAGGCAGCACTGTCCTTGATGACACCGTGACCATGACTCAAGCCTGGCATTCAGCTAATCTATGTGTCTGGCACACAAGGTCACCGATGCTCCCACCACCACCACCAGACCATGGGCAAGGACAGGGACAGTGCCAGTGACTCCAGCACTCCAGGAAGAAGCTGTGGGTCTCAGCCAGGTCCCAGCTGAGTCCCAGCCTGTGGCTGTGGAGAAGCCAGAAGACACTCTCACATGCCCAACCCCCACCAATGTCAGTTTATTAAGTTGTTTGTAAATGTCTCTGCAATTAATCACTTGCCGATGTGGGGTGTCACATGGCGTTCGCCTCCGCAGCACTATGAATAGTGAGAGCTGGAGAGAGGCCCGATCCATCCTGCTCTGGAGTGACAGGCTCCTGGATGGATCCATCTCTCTACAGGGCAATGTTGTACCAGCTCAGTGTAGCAGTGGTGCTGCAGAGTGTCCTGGCTACCCTAGATGGCCAGTCAGGAGCTCACTGCCCATCTTTCCCCAGAAAAGAGAATGCAGGTGAGGGGAACCCCAGACCTCATGCTTATGGGATACAGGGGTTCCCAGCACCACCACTGCATCCCTCCTGCCCACTCCCAGATTCCCTCAAGTGGGCCACCAGCAGCTCCCTATTGATCCCTTCCCCAAAGAACATGGCTAGAGATGAAGGGAACTCCAAATCTCACGTTCGTGGGATCCAGAAGGGTCCTCAGTACCCCCTGCTGCACCCACAGTCTGGCCCTAATCTGTTGAGGAGCGCAGGGAGGACAGACCCAGCACTGACTGGAAGCTTGGCTGATCAGGAGCTGCAAAGAGTTTGTTTGGCTCCTGGAGCAGGGCAAGATGAAGGGGTTGGATGTCCCAGTGGTGAAAGAGCGGGAAGGAGGGCAAGAGGGCCAGTTGCATGGCCAGAGAGACAGACAGTGCTGAAGGAGGGGGTGGATTGAGGGAATGGTGGTGGGGAAGGGGAGAGAGGGAGAAAGGGATGGAGGGATGGAGGGATGGAGGGATGGAGGGATGGATGGAACAGGTATCTAACAAAGCTGAGCACTAATGGCATTTCTTGGCACACTCCTGGGGTTTGGTGCCAGGCATCTGCTCCTGGCCCAGAGTCCTGGGCACTAAAAGCCCCTTGAGGCAGCCTGGCACAGCAGAAGGGGAGAGAGGTCATGAAACCAGGGATGCTGAAGGCTCTTCCCCTCTTCCCAACACCTACATCCTCACCCTGTCATAACAATGAGGGGCCTGAGCCAAACACCAGTATAGCTGAGGCTTGCAGGGTGCTGTTTTCATGGGGAGGAGGGAACACAGGTATCTCCCTTCTGTCTCCCTCTTGGCAGCTCCTCCACCCCTTCCAGCGCTGCAGGTGACACTGCCAGCACCGTTGCCACCATCCTGCACCCTGGTAGCGCCTGCAGGTGATTGACAGCCCTCCTGCTCCCACGCATGACTCACCGACAGCCCCTGTGGCGGCTCAGCACGAGGAGGGGGCGGTGGGACACCCCCACCCAGGGCTGCCACAGACAACTCAGCAGGGAGTGATGCTCCCAGCCCTGCAGTTACACCCAGCCCCCTGTATCCCTCCATTCCTGGGGACCAGCATCCCTGCCTCCCATCACCCCTGCACCCCCACATCTGTGGGGATTAGCATCCCCACATCCCTGGAAACCAGGGAAAGCGGAGTCCCAGCTACCTTCTGCAACTCAGGCTGAGCTCCAAGGATGTTTCCCACTACAATGGCTGCGAGATGAAGCTCAAAGGGTTTCCATGGCAAGTTTCAAGGTCACAAGCACTGGCAGGCAGCAGCAGCACACAGCATCAGCCATGGGCTGTGGGGAGAAGTTTCTATTGCTGCCATGATCCAAAGAAACAGCTCCCAATCTCTGGCTTTGAAATGCTCATTGTGCCTCACACTGCAGGGGCCCAGGCCCTGAAACACACCTACACACGTTTCTTGATAGCTCCCACCCGGTCCTGGTGACCTACAGTGGCAGTCCAGCACAGACTCCAACTCTGGCACTGGCACAGCATCCTGGCTGCACTGGCAAGGCTCAGCAATCCTGGCAGAGGATTGTAGGACTGTTGTGCCACTGCTCTGTCCCCAAAAGGGCAGCTCACTGCTCACTGCCTTCTCCATGGCACCCACTCTCTGGCAACAGCCCAGCAGGTGCATCTTGGACCATCCCTCTGCACTTCCAGGTTGCCAGCTCCTGGTGTTCCCTGCCCTGTGTGGCTGGCAGAGACATGAACACTCCCACTTAGTTTCTTAAGACCTTTAATATCATCAAGAGGCAGCAGTGGGACGCAGGGGCTGCTCCTACCATCTCCATCCTGATGGATGGAGGACAGAGACATGGGGCACGCCCTTCCCAGTGTTGGGTGAATATTGAGGCTCTTGTCACCCTGTCCTACCTGGCATAAAGTAACACGAGCATGATGATGCTGGTGCCTGGGGCCAGGCATGCATCCCATGGGATGGGCTAGTCCTGCATCCCACAGGAAGGGCAGCTCCCACCTGCCTTACAATTTTAGAGAAAGACTTCAAAATAGGGGATGGAAGAAGAAACGTAAAAGCCCTTGACTGCAGCTCCCAGCCAGGCTCTGCTTCTCCTCCTGGAGCTGGGAAAAGAAGTGGTGGCCAAAGGCAGCTGGGACACTGAGTTGGGGGGCTGACATCCTGTGGGCTGTCTGGCAATGGCTCCCAAGCCCAGCTCTACTGCGGCAGGGGGATGGCCTTGCTGCCATCTCCCCTCCTGGCTGCCTGTGGTCCCCACAGTGGAAGGTGAGAGGGCCCAGTGAAGGCTCTGGAGGAACAGGACTCCTGGCAGGTGCCGGGCTGGCGCAGAACCCCGAGGGCTGCCCCACTTGGAGATGAACCTGTGGCACAAGTGGAGAGCAAAGAGTCAGTGAAGGGGACAGAGCAGGCACTTTCAACCCCTTTCCACCTTTGGGGACATGTGCCATGTTCCCAAGCCAGGATGGCAATAGGACAGACAGAGCCATTTGGCTCCTGCTGTCACCAGATCAGGACAGAGGGTGCAGGCAGGAGGGAAACTCACTGGCATGTCAGTTTTCCAGCTCAGACGTTCCGCAGAAGCTGGGGACAAAGGGCAGACAGATCACCTTTCATCCTCAGCATCCTCCTCCTCTGTCTGGGCATCACTGGCAGCATGGTACCCAGAGGGACTCAGGGAAAACCCCCAGCAAGAGAAACCATAGTTGCCCCAGGGTCACTGCAGTCCCAGCACCCCTTCCCCGTGACAGGGGACACTCACCCACTGTCCCCTGGGAGCCCTGGTGTGCTGGTCCCCTGTACCAGACCACACCACCACAAGCACACTGTGAAGCACAGCCCACAGCAAAGCCCCTGGAGGCTTCCCCATTGCCCTCCATTATAAACCTGAGCCTGTGCAGGGGTTCCAGGGCAGCAAAGATGCTGCTCTCTGCCCTTGGCGAATCCCTGAGCACCCACTGGGTGCCTTTGGAGGATCCCCCTGGCACAGCCCTATCCCCTGGTTTATAACAGCAACGAGGGCCCAAGTGACTGGCTTGGAGGTGGTGGGATCATCTCTGCCCCACCACCAGCCCCCGTGGCTGGGCAAGAGTTCAGCACCAGCACCCGCATGGTTGACTGACACTCGACGGGTGACAGCCAGCGGGCAGGACAGCTGTTGCAGACAGACAAGACAGCAGGATGGGGAGCTGATCTGTGACCAGGACAGAAAACCCACCCCTGTTAGAGGAAAAATCAGGAGCTTGGCAGCATCCCCTCTTTTTGCATCACATGGTTTGGGACCCCCTGGACCCAGGAGACCCCACCATCCCCCAAAGGATCAGCTAGCCCCCCCGGCCCCAATCCATTACTGGAGATGACGCAGTATGTAAGTAATGGGAGCAGGAATGGGAGCCAGGATATCCCCCACCCAGGTTTGAGACCAGGACCCCCCCCAACATGTGATGCAGGAGGGATGCAACCCCGCATGAAGGGCCATCCAGTGCCCTGGATCACTCACAGTTAGGGGGTCAGTAGCAAAAGCAGCCACACTGTTCCTCATCTCGCTCTCATTGCCCCGCAGCGGGATGAGGGAGATGTTACCCAACCTGGCATCCTGCTGAGGCTGTGCCACCCGCATCTTGGGATGCTCCAAGGGCCACAGGGCACCCCCATTCTGCAGACAGAGGGGACAGAGAGAGATTGGAGATTTATCCAGCCCAGGACCTCTCTTTTGCTCTGGGGTGCTAGTGTTTAGGGATGCTTGGATACCCCAAAGAGTTTCTGCTGGCCAAGCATTCCTCTGGGACTGTCCCCCATGGGATGCCCCACTTTTACAGGGAGTGATCATCTGTCCCACTCCCTACCTGAACCTGGAGGAAGGTGGCAAACCACTCCCGCAGATCGGCCTGGGTGTCACAGCACAGGTACCTGTGGAAAGTGTCAGCAGCCAGAGGAGGAGGTGGAGGCAAGTAAGGTGTCCCCTCAGCCCACTCCAGGGACACCTGCCTGCTCCAGAAACCTCAGCTGCTCTGCATGAGACGCCAGGGGACTGAAGGGGACAGCCACAGGCCCCGGGGGGAACTGTATGGGGCCATGAGTGCTCAGACAGGCTGTCTCCACACATATAATGTCCCCGCCAATGTCAGGAGGGTGCAACTGGATGATCGTCAAGGTCACTTCCCATCCAAATAATTTCATGATTTACATGATTCCCCATTTCCCCCTGCCATGGCAAAGGCTCCAGAGAGCTGCCACGTGTCTGTCTGTCCCAGGGATAAGTTTAGTATCCCGTGTCGCCTTCCCTCACCATTGCTGTTTCTCGTGCTTCTCGTTTTCGTAGAATACTGTAAAGCCCCAGCTGGAAGAGGGGAGTGAAATCATGAATCCAAACAGCCCATGCTGCCCTCTTCTGCTGACCAAGTACCCCAGCAAACCCCTCTCATCCCTGCCAACCCCCATCCCTGCAAACCCCCTGCTGTCCCTGCAACTGCCCCCTCCAGCCCCACAAACCCTCCCTCAGTTCTGCAAATCCCCACAGTCCTACAAACACCCCCGGGGACAGTGCCAGAACAGGGCTCGGGAGAAAGAGAGGTCAGGGACAGCACTGAATGCAGGGCTGAGGACAGGGCTGGGGACAGCCCAGTCCCTGCTGGTTGGACAGGGCTGCAGCAGCGTCCTACAGGGCTGGTCTGACACCTGGTGGCAGGAGGCCTGGCCAGCAGGGGATGGGTCCAGCAGCCAAAACTGTCTCTGCCCTTTCCCCTGTTCCCATCTCCACTCCTATCCTCATCCTTCAGCCCCACAGGCCACCCCTTTGCTGCTCACCATGTCGGGGGTCGAAGCTTCTTTTTAACACCCAGGTAAACCTTCAGGTTTCGGACAGGCCACTCCTTCTCCGGCTTGTGACTCTGGGGGAACAGGGAACCGGCACTGGGCTGGTGGCTGTCAGACCTGTCCCCATCCAGCACAGTCCCCACCGTTGCTGGGATAGGGTCTGTCCCCCAGCAGGGAGGAAAAGCTGTAATGATGTGGTGACAGGGAGGAGGGTGAAGCCCAGCGTGAAGCAGAGCATGTCTGTCACCCATGGCAAGGGCCACAGGTAGCAGGAAAGGGACACAGGGGCCTGCACCCCCTAGACAGTGCTGGCTGCCTTCAGAGCTGGGACGAGCACGGGCACGTTGTGACAGGGTCTCAAGAGCCTGGCACTAGACATTCCCCATGGGATCCTACATCATATGCCTCCTCAGCATCACAGCCACAGCCATGGCAGTGGTGGATCTGTACCCACACTGCCCAGAGCACATTCCTAAACGTCCCACTGCCATCATGGCACAGTATGAGGACCCTTCCAGCGCTGGCTATGCCTTGCCATGACCCAGAAGCAGGTGCCACACTGGGGACCCTGGGGACCCTCCATCCATGTTCACATGCAAGCAGTGTTGACTTACAAGAGCCCAATCCAATGCCTGTGGGATGGGGAAGCATCTCAGCCCATCCCCATCCTCTCTGCTCCCTTCCCCAGACGCAGCTCTGGCTGCCTGGAGTGAAGGACAGCGCGACCCTCAAGCCAGAAGGGCCAAATGGGGAGAGACGATAGCAGCGGGGACAGTTCCAGTGATTGTCACATGTGTGCTGCGGGACTGGATGTGGGACTGACCCTGCATTGGATCTGAGGCCAACCCTGGGCAGACTTTTAAGGACAGAGGGCATGGGTGCCTCTGCACCCCAGCTAAGCCCCCTGTTCCCCTCCCTACTCGTGCTCTCCAAGGTGGGGCTCCACTGCCTCAGGCTCTGTTCAGCAGAGGAGAGGGGTTAAAGCAGAGGTGGGGGACCCCTCCCTGCAGCCCCCCTGTGCCCACAGACAGGGCGTAAGGATGGAGTGGTAATGTGCTAGGCTGCAGTGTCAGATCAGGACGACCAGGAACTAGGGGGCAGGGAGTGGCTGTCCCTGCACAGCCAGTATGCCAGCATGTCCCCTGGCACTGACCAGGGGCTCTGGGATCTGCTCCAGGTCTGGGTGACAGCCCTTCTCTGGCACTGCCCGCATTGCCTGTGCCAAGGTAACCCCATTGCTGCCTGCACTGCCTGAGCGAGGCCAGCCCACATGGCTCCTCAGGGAATCCCCACAAAGTCACAGTGTGGCAGGGCAGGCCAGGGAAGGGCTGGGGAAGGGGAAAGGGAAGAAGGGGAAGGGAAGGAGAAGAAGGGGAAGGGGAAGAAAGGGAAGGGGAAGGCAGGGCTCACCCGCACTTCCTTGTAGAGGCGCAGCCAGGAGTGGCTGAGGATGAAGTAGCGATCATGGAAGCCAGTGCTCAGTCCAAGCCCCAACAGGTTCCTCTCCTCCCGGAATTTCATCATGCCGTGCTTGCAGTCACCCACTCTGCTGGCTGGAGGCACATGCCTAAGCAGCTCTGGCCCCCCTGGGGTGTCAGGCCCCCCAAGGAGGGCACAGCCAGACCCTCATCCCCTATAACAGCAGCCCTCCAGTGCTGCAGAGCTCTGGCACTTCCCCTCAACTCCCAGGCCAGGCAGGGTAGGCAGGACCAGCTTCCCTACTGCTTTGGGCAGAGCATTTGACCTGACACCGTATCAGGGGGCTCCGAGTCACTAACTGAGCTGGTGTCTACTTGCATGGATCCCATACCATCCTCTTCCCCATTCCCAACCCCTTCTCCATCCCCTCCCCTCCACTCTGCATCCCCATTCGCATCCAATCCCCATCCCATCCCATCCCATCCCATCCCATCCCATCCCATCCCATCCCATCCCATCCCATCCCATCCCATCCCATCCCATCCCATCCCATCCCATCCCATCCCATCCCATCCCATGCCATCCCATCCCATCCCTTCTCTCCCTGCCCAGACCATGGCCCCTGCCTCTCACCAAGGTAGATGAGCATGTTCTCCATGGACATCTGCTTCTTCACCACCAGGTAACTCTCTGTCCCCAGGCAGTGCAGGATGGGCAGAACTTTCTCCGAGTAATGCAAGGGCCGCTCTGTCAGTCAGGGGACAGGCAGGTCTCAGGAAGTGTACCCAGGGTCAGCTCCCATACAGAGAGTGTCACACTTGTGTCCTGAGGGTCTGGCATGGTCTTGTCACTAAACTATGTCCCCAAGTGCCACATCCACAGGTCTTATCAATTTCTCCAGGGACACTGACTCCACCACTGCCCCGGGCAGCCTGTGCCAGGGCTGGACAACTCTTTAGTTGAAGGAATTTTCTCAAATATCCAGCCTAAACCTCCCCTGGCATAACTTGAGACCATTTCATCTTGTGCTGTCACTTGTTACCTAGAAAAGACTGACCTCCACCCACTGGCAGCAGGAGCTCAGGGCACTAGCAGGCAGGACCAGGGTCTCATCCTGCTTCTGTTGATCTCTCCCTTGCTGCTGCCTAGAGCAACATAGGGCTGCTCACTTTGGTGGCTGGAGAACCTGGACACCTCTCCCCATAAAGCTCAAAAGGCACTTGAACTCCTAAGGATACAGACAGACATCCTGGCCCAAACTCCCACCCATCTGCAGTAACTTGTGCAAGCTGGATGAGGTAAGGATGTCCTCCCCTCAGCACCTGAAGCACATCCCAGTTTGCTCCATGGTGCAATCACAAGGGGAAATTTTTCATACCCACCCCTATATCCATTCCCATCTCCATCTGCATTTCTATCCCCATGCCTGTCCTTACTCCATCTGCATCACCATGTCCATCATCCTTTCCATCCTCATCCCCACTTCATTCCCATCTCTAACTTTATCCCCATCTCCACCTCTAACATCATTCCCCACCTCCACTGCATCTTCCTCCCCCTCATCACCACCCTTATGCCCCTGCACTAACCTGCCTCTTCCCTCTCATTCACTTCGAAGCAGCTCCAGTAGTCCTTCTCCTTCATGACAATTTTCCGCCGGTCCAGGATCTCAAAGGTGAGCTCCTCAGCTGTCATTGTAGCTGGGATCTGAGAGGGAGGGGGCAAGTCTCCATCAGTCCCAGGGCCCTTCCATCCTCACACCACAGAGGTACCAGCTCAGTATGAGTCCCCACGCCACCACAGAGACTTGGACATACAACGAGGGCACCACTGTCCCCTCTTCACCCTCTGCCCAACAGCTCACCTTGACATGCTGCTCTGTCTCTGTCTTCTTCTCCTCCAGGTAGACAGTGCAGATGAAGTCCCCAGCTTGCTGGAGGGCAACAGTAAAGTGCTTCAACCTGCAGCTTCACATGTGTGGGTGAGATCCCCCCCACCAGCGTGGACATCCTTGCCCAGGGCATGTCCAGGAGATGCCACAGTAGACACCGAGGGCCCCAAGAGAAGACATCCCCATGTCCAGGACCCACCTGTGTTCCACTGGATGATGCCTCCCGCATCTTCATGATGGCTGTGATTTCATCCTGCTGCTTCTTCATCTCTTGGTCATTGACCTACCAGGGAAGAGAAGCCACCAGGGCTCACCAGACTATCCTGGCTCCAAGCTTTGGGTTTCCAAGGTTTGAAAATACATGGTCCTCTCTCCCATTGTCTCCAAAGAAAGATGTTTACAGACAGAGTAGATCTGACTTCCTCCTCCTTCCACCTCTCCATTCCCTGTGAATGTCTACACAGTGGACCCAGGGGTGAACCTACATTAAAGATCTCCACATAGTGACTGATGAGGTCCTCCACCACACGTCCTGCCTTGTAGTCCTTCCCATCCGTCTGGAAGAGCGTGGGCCCGAAGACAATGGCCAGGTTGTGTGTGGTCATCTGGTTCTCCCCAGAGAAGCACTGGATCCTGTGGGGAACTTTGTCAAGACTCCTGCACCAGAGCCTCCCGCAGACCCCATCCTTCAACCCCAGTGCAGGACACAACACTTGGCATCAGGCACAGCTTGACCCCAAAGTCCTCTCCTTTCCTTGCTGGGGACATGAACCAAAGGATGAGGGCTCTCCCACACCCCAGAGTCACCAAGGACTCCACAGTGGAGAGGCTGATGCCCAACAGGTCGATGCCGTACCGGAAGAGGTGATTGATGAGTGCCTTCAATGTGGCCCGGTTCACTGGTGGGAGGGCAGCCAGGAGCTGCCGGTATTCGCCAACCTTTGCCTCCTCATCCTCCAGTGCTGCCAGAGGGAAAGAATGAATATGAAAGAGCACAAAGCAGAGATTAAGGCTCAGGGCCACACCATCCTCCCTACAGACTCCACTTCCCCTCTCCTGTCCCAGCCTGGGGATGGAGCACCCCAAATCCATGAGGCCAGAGAACATCCCAGGTCTACAGAGCCAGAGCATTCTGGGAGCTGAAGCATCCCAGAATCATGGGGTCAGAATAACCTAGCATCATGGAGCCAAAGCACTCCAGTTCCATGCAGCCAGAGTGTCCCAGTTCCATCGGGCTGTAGCACCCTAGCTGAATGGGGAAGGACCATCTCAGTGGCATGGGGCTGGAACCTTCCAATTCCAAGGTGCCAGAGCATCCTAGGGCTGGAGAATCCCAGGTCCATGGGGCGACAGCACACCTGCTTTATGGGGCTGAATCATCCCAGACCTGTGAGGCCAGGGCACCCTGGCTCCATGGGGCCAGAGCATCCCAGCTCTGCAGGGCTAGATCACTCCAGATTCATAGGAACAGAGTATCTCAGCCTAAAGGGACTGCAACATCCCAGCATCATGGAACCAGAGTATCCCAGCTCCACAGAGCTGAAGCATCACAAGGCTGGAGCATTCCAGCTCTCTGAAGCCAGAGCATCCCAGCTTCATGGGGCCATAGCTTACGTCTGTTTTTCTGCTGGGTGAATCCATCCCCAGTGTCCAGTGAGCAGATCCAGAAGGGAAGGGGGGTCTGGCTGTCTCCCCTGGCTCAGCCCCACCCTTGCCAGAGCATGAGTCTGCACAGGCGCGACATGAACACATTCCCCACCCCACCCACCACTTGAGACCCCAGCACAGGGGAACATGTGGAGCTCAGACATGTTCCTCCAACCCACGAAGGGGACAAATAGGCTGCACAGAACTGGGTAGCCCAAATCCCTCCTCCTGTGACCCCCAAGCAGCCCCCAGGGCTCACCTGTTGCCCACAGCCAGTCTGGGGCCCACTGCCGAGTGAAGAGCCCGTCCCCAAGGTCACGGAAGAAGCGTTTGAGGGTGTTGGCCACATCGTCCACCTGGTGCTCACCCTCTTTCAGGCGGACACGGCGGGCATCCCGCTGCAGCGCCTCCAGAAGGCTGGTGGTCTTGGAGTTCTGCCCACTCTTTCGGTAGATTCCCTCAGAAGTCAGCCCTGTGATGAAGCCAGTGGGGATGACACCCCCTCTGCAGGAGACAGACCCCACTGGTGGCCCACCAGCTCCCCATCAAACACTGCCAGGTGCCACAGAGTATCCCATCCTGCAGGTGTTCCTCTGACTGGAGCCAAAGCCCTGCTAGGGATGAAGCCCTCCCACAGAGCTGGAGCAGACATTCAGGGAGGGAGGGAAACATGTACCACAAGCATGTAGGGTTCTCAGCCCACAACACCACACCAATGGGGTGAACTGAATGCCACACCGGTCCCTGCCAGCACCCTGGGACTTGACCCATACCGCACTGGGTGATGTAGTCAATGCAGCGATCCACCAGCAGTGGGACGTCCGACTCCGTCAGCTGCTGCTCCGACAAGGTGTCTCCCGAGCTGCCCGCAGCCTTCTGGATGGCGTGGACCCAGCCCAGGAAATCTAGCTTCCGTTCTCCTTGGATGTACAGTGTCCTGCCAGCATGCCTGGGCTCAGCTGGGGGCTACATGTTCCCCCAGACCCCACTGCATGTCTGCAACCCCCAGGAAGGCTGGCCCTGGGAGCCTGCAGGTGATACCAACTCAGTTTTGGGGGTCTAGAGTCATGGCAGGGAGGGTAAAGACACCCCAGAACAGGGAGTGGTATTTGGGGGGGGGGGCTCCTGTCTCCCCCATCCTCTTACCTCCGCCTCTCCACCAGCACCAGAACCTCATGGTCCCCCTGGATGGCTGGAAAGGAAGGCAGGAAGCCCATCACCTATGGGATCATGGGGTGCCACAGCTCCCCTAGACCTACATGCTGTGGGAGACTCTGCCAACAGGTCCAGCTCCAGTCCAAATGGGACAAGCAGGGATGGAAAAGAGGATGGAGGGGGAAGAAGATGGAGAGGATAAAGAGCAGCTGCATTCCCTCTCATTCAAGGGACACTGAACTCCACAGGAGTGATACCCACCAGACTCCCACCAAAACGTAGGTGCAGCCCAGGGCAGGATTTGGGGGACACACCCTCCCTCCCAGCCAGGGGGTTCTGCCAGCAGGGCAGGGGTACTCACAGAGCTCCTGCAGCTTGCGCAGCTGGAGAGGCTCCTGCCGACAGCCATCCTCAGAGCAGACATGGAGTGTGGAGCCGACCAGGGCAAACCAGCCCTCCTGGGCATGCTCCAGGGTAAGACCCCCTTTGTAATGTAGTCGGCCAAGCCGCTCAAAGTCTAGTGCCAGCAGCCCCTCGGCACAGGGGTGGACAAAGGACTGAGCCAGGGAGGAGAGGAATCCATCAGTACCACTGTGTCCAGCTGCCACCAGCACCCAGGGCCACCCCAGGCCCCTGCATCCCACCTTGGCAATAGACTTGAGCCATTCTCGAGCAGAGTCGGGGCTCTCCAGCCCGAAGAGGTAGAGTCGATCTGCCTCAGTGTACACCTCAAACGTGCTCTCGATCCTTCAGAAGGGAGGAAAAGGGGAGCCTGGGTGCCCACAGGGGTAAGATAGAGCTTGCTGGACAATAGGGGTGTTCCAGGGATGGGAGCATCCTGCTGCATGGCTGCTGATATCTCTGACAATGGCTGATCTAATGTGGAATCCCCTCACCATGGCCTCGGGCACTCCAGCATCCCTGTGCTACCAGACACGTTCCAACAGGGGACATAGGGACTGCACAGGGGCCACAAAATGGTTACAAAGGAGTTGGACAGAGGGTTCCAGAGGGATTACATAGCAGCTGCAAAGAGGTCACAAAGGTGTTACAAAAGTATTAGGAAGACACTCCAAAGGGACTGTAAATTATTTACACAGAATCCTTGCAAAGCCATAGGTTCAGGGGCCATTGGTGGGGTTGGGGACTACAGTCCCCTCATGGCACCCCTCATGGGGGCCACTGCAGCTGTGCCAGGCCCTGCAAGAACAGAGGGGCTGTGGGAGTGCTCCAGGGGAGTGCAGCCTTACCCATGGGCATGGAGTGGGTTGTTCACCAGGCAGACAATCTCCTCCACCCTGATCTCACCATTGGGCACAGTGTTACGGTTGTTCTCATAGTAGCTGAGCACACCATCCTGCAGCGTGCACCACCGCCGGCTGAACTCTGCACAGCACAGGAGAGCACTGAGCAACCTCCCTGAGCTCTGGCCCACCCCACAGCACCCACCAAACCAGCCTGAGCACTCCAGCAGCACCCACTGGGTGCACATCTGATGTGACCACCCATCAAACTAGGCTACCAGATAATGCTGCACTTCCCCACCACCTTTCCAATGCCCGAGAGAACACGGGAGGGTGTTCTGTCAATCTCTTAGCTCTCTTTCCCCTGTCTCACACATGTACCTTCTGGGCCCTTTCGCTCACTGATGGGCTTGACCATGGAGGGGGTCTTGTAGAGGAAGCCATTGTGGGTTATGGAGGGCAGGTGCACAGAGTAGGGCTTCTCCTCACTGCACACCATCTCCAGGCGTGGTGGCTCTGCAAGCAGGGAGATCAGTCTGTCATGGGGAGCTGCCCTCCTCCCCCAGCCCCACAAAGCAGTTGGGTTTCCCCTATCGCAGCACAAAGAGTATCTCACAGGCTATACCCCCAGCTCCCACCACAGGTGCAAGAACAGTGCTGGTATCCAAATCCAAGGCTTCCTGGGAGTCATCCCACATCCTGAGTCCTCCCCAAAGCCCCTCCCTAAGTACTGAGCTGGGACTGGATAGGAACAATGTGGGGAGATGGGGTCCAGGCTCCCCCACCACTGAGGTCCCTCCCAGGCTGTCCCAGGACCCTGCTGCTCTGCAGGAGGTGCAGGGCAGAGCATCAGACTCCTGCAGCTGAAATAACAGCCCAGGGCTCTGTCACTGCCTCCTCCGATCACAGTCATGTCCCCTGCCTTGATTTCCCTACCTTGCCAGCAAGACTCAACCTCCACATTCTCTGGGATGAAACAGAGATAGGATGCAGGTACACCCCTAAATCACACCCAAGTCAGAGTGTGGAGTGCCTGGAGCTCTACAGATTGGGAATCCAGGATGAGGCAGATCCCTGCTCTCCCAGTACAGCCCTCCTTCACACAGTGCTGGGCTCATCCACCCCAACAATCCCAGGACACTGGGATTGCTGTCCCCAGCAGTATAAGCCCAAGCTTTGGATTTCTCTGGGTCGCTGGGGTGGCCTGGGAGGCCTCACAGCTCTCCCAGACATCTTCAGTGCTAACATGTCAGGAAGAGCTGGGCCAGCCCCAGACCTGGGCAAATTCCAGCTTCTGCAGGACAGACTTGGCTGCTAAGGCAAGGAGGGAAGTGATGGCTTTGGCAGGTGCTGACCAGCCCCCCACACCTCTGCTCCACCTGCTCAAGTGTTCCTGCCCACCCACCCAAGGTCTGTATTAGGGTGCAGATCCCATGGGAGCCATCAGCCCCCGTTGGAGTCAAGTTCAGGGGCAGGGGTGCACATCCAGCAGAATGGGACCGGTCGTTAGGGGGTCAGTCCTCCTGCCCCAGGGACATGCTGCAGGTGGGGGCTGCCCATCTGACAGAGGAATGTCCCTTGAAGCTGCCTGGAATGCCCACAGCATGCCAAGACAGTGTGGGAATACTCTCTCCTATCTCTTCCGGTGCCTGCAACCCCAGTCTGCATCCCCAGCTGAGCTTCAGACCTGTGTTCCCAGCTGGGATTGAGCCCCCAGTGGCATAGGGGTTCCCCAAAGCATCTCTTCCCTCTTGCAGGGTACACAGCCTCCCAACAGTGCCAGCAAACGGAGAGCCTCCTACCAGGAAGCTGCTGGGCAGGACACAGAGCTGAGACCAGCTCAAAATATAGCTGTGTCTCCCAGAACACCCCAGTGGCAACTCCGGGAATGTTGTCAGTGGGTGTGAGCCCATGGTGGAGCTTCAAGGGGGTCAGCCCTTACCTGAGGTTTTGTTGTGGAGCAGGAACTCCATCTGCAGCCTCTGCCCACTTCTCTCAGCCAGGGCCAGGGGTGTTGGGCACTGGGGGTCCCCAGTGTCACAGGTCACTGATGCCCCACAGAAGAGCAGAGCCTGCGTCTCTGCCAGGTCACTGGTGGTGACAGCCGCACACAGAGCCTGCAGCAGAGCCAGGAGGCCAGCAGTGAAGCTGATGGCTCCCACCGAGGAGCAGGAGCAGCGCTCACCCCAGCAAAAGGAGCCGGGTAAGTGCAGTGAGCGCCTCCCGGCCACCTCCCAGCTGCCTGGTCAGAACAAAGGAGGCTCAAACTGGAAGAAAAAGTTTGGAGCCAGAAGCAAATCCCTCCCTTAAGGAGCCGGGGTGAAGTCATATGGCAGCAGGGCGGGCTGGCCGAGCCAGAGTAGGAAAACAAACAAGCCCACATGTGAATTCCCTTGGCTGCCTCGGCCCCGCCGTGTACCCCCACCGCTTGTGCAAACACTGGGGAAGCTACGGCAGGAATGAAGCTATAGCAGAGCAGGAGGCGAAGGTCAGCAGCCAGAGCGCCAGGATGGCATTCCCTGTGTGACATTCCCTGTGTGACACTCTAGTTTGGCACCCTGCCAGCAGCCAGCACAGGGAACGGCTGCCATGGCTGGTGATCAGGAGTGCTAGCCAGGTACTCCTGGAGAGGGATGTCAAGCTGCCTCAGCTGGAGTGTGCCCCCAGCACCAGCTCCCCTAAGCCCCATCCAGCCCAGAGATTGACACCAAAACAATTTCCAAGCCAGGGAGAAGAAAACCCTGGGGCTGCCTGGTTGTGGTAGGGAGATCCCATCTTGGACAAGGCTCTCCAGCCTGGACATGAAGCTGGTTACACCCCACGGCAGAGATGTTAGCCTGTCCCCACAGCAGCCTCATCCTTCCTGGAGACCCCAGGCTTTGGCTTGGGGTGCACAGTGAGGACATAGGGTGTGCAATGGGGGCTGGGATACAGGCAGGTAGGGATGGTGGGCAGTCTGCTCGGACACAGACTTCACTCCCAAAAGAGCACGCAGCTCAGCACCACTTTGCACCCAGGCAGAACCCCCAAGCGAGTGCCCACCCCTGGGGGCCACTGACCCTGTTAAGTTCCTCCTGGTTGCCAAAGAGTGGGTGGTAGTGGCGGTACTTGCCCTCCCGGTATTTGGCGATGAGGAAGCGCCTCCTCTCCTGGCTGCCACTGGTGGGGCTGATGGCCTCACTGGGAGGCACATTTGCAGCCCAAAACTGGTTGGCCATCATGTTGCCAAACTGCTGGAAGAGCTGTGGGGACAAGGACAAGGAGACACCAATGTGACAATATTGCTAGGGCACGTTGGTGGGCTCTGCTGGGGGCACGGTGCTGCCCTGGAGGAACAATGGGGTGCAGGAAGAGCATGGGTGGTGTAGGGGAGTGGGGAGTGCGTGTGGGCAGGATGCAGGTGCAGCCACCCACTGCAGGCACGCAGCATCTGACAGCCCCCATAACCTCCAACTCCCCTTGCTGGCCCGGAAAATCACATCTGGAAAGCAGCATCCAGCTGTGGGAGGTGGGGCGGTGCTCAATATCCATGGGGACAGGTTCAAAGCACTTTTGGTGACCCCTTGCCACCCCGATAACCACAGCTGAGCACTGTCATTAACAGGTTTATCAGAGACCCACCGGAGACTCCCAGCACCCCGCAGCTCTCAGGGGTGGAATGGGTGCATGCCAGAGTCGAGGAGGGGCGGTGCGAGCAGGGGCCCTGGGGATGCTGGGGTGGTTTCAGGCAGCGTTCCCAGAGAGGGGAGGGGAAAGGGAGCAGCCGCAGCAGCAGCTGGAAGCGTTTGGGAGCTCGGGGAGCAGGCAATGCTGGAGGCGGGGGCTGCGCGGGTGGGACGCCAAGCAGGAATGCAAAATCTGAGCAGGAGGGATGGGAAGAAGGCAGCCAAGCAAGCTCTGCCGGTGGGAAATGGCTGCCAGGTTAGGTTTTGAAACGAATCCCAGCTCCCCCCGCCCACCCATTCCCGGCCCTGGCTGCACTGACACATTCCTCCCCGGCGGCGGCCGTGCCGCTTCGGAGCACTGCTCTGCCCTCGGCCCCACGGCCACTCCGGCCGCTCCACAGCCGTGTCCCCACGGACAAAGACACGCTACCTGTCTGTGGTACATGAAGTGCTGCTTGTCCTCGCCGGCATGCTGAGCTGGCTGCCAGGTGTCCACAGGGACAGAATGAAAGGCTGCTGGGGGTCCTCTCCCCAGCCAAGCCACGCCATGGTGTTCCCCACAAGGGGCTGCAATCAGCCTGGCAGAGCCCTGCCGTGCTCCAGCACCCCCAGCCCACTGCCAGCAGCTCCAAGACGCACAGGGAACAGGGTGTTGCCCCCCAAAAGGACTTTTTGGGACTGGTCTGTGCCACTACCTCGATCAGCTCCTCAGTCCACACCTTCCTGTCCATCTTCAGGCTTCGAACTTTGGTGATGCCAGGGCCCAATCCCCGGTGTTCCCCTACCAGTGAGATGAGCCATTAGGGACCCGTTTTGGGGTGGGAAAGGTCTGGGGATCCCCATTTGTGCCCCTCCGGATATGGGTACCTGCACATCTCTTGCAGATGACAACACAGAGGTTGATGGAGGCCCAGTCAGGTTTGGGGGAACCACAGTCAGCACAGAAGCGGTTGGACTCCACCGCCCAGATCCTCTCGGCCACCTCCGAGTTGGAGAGTGCCTCAGTGATGGACTGCTGCATGGCCTCCACCCATTCCTCCTTCTCCTGTTCTGAGTCAGCAGAGAAGCTGCCAGGAGGGATGGGGGTGAGATATACCATGGCTTGGGGTGCGCAGCACCCTCAGCACCCCCTCCCCACCCTGGGCTCACCTGAAGATCCTGTATGGTGTGGTGAGGTCAAAGCCCCGGCGATCCACCTCCTTGACATTCCCCACATTCATCTCAATGTAGGTGATGCCAATCCCCAGCTGATAGTCCTGGTGAGGGAGGGTGGGCAAGGGATGAGGGGGGGATGGATGATGGGATCCAGTGCCTGGGAGCTGGGGTAACTCTGTCCCATCTCTGCCCAGCTCTCATTATGGGGGTACCTAGGACACTACAGACTCTGGAAGCAGCTACAGTGGGTGTGATGCTCCTGGGAGATCCCAAGGCTCAGAGTTAGCAGAGAGGGAGGGCTCAAAGGGCAGCACTCTGTAGCTTCTGTGCTGTCCCCATTTGAGGGATGGCAGGCCTGAATGCCTTGGCTCACTGCTTCTCTGCTCAGGCTGGGAGTGCAAAGGGAAGGGGTCCCCCTTGAAACAGCATCAGGGTCCCTCATAGCACCACAGCACCTCCCAGAAACCCACCTCTGCATTCTTGTAAAGGAACACTTTGTCCTCAGACACCACCACAAAGAGCTTGTGCTTAAAGCCCCGCAGCTCCAGGAAGCCACTCTTATTGGCTAGCTCAGTGGCACTATCGGTGGCTAAGGACATCAGTGTCCTCTCTGGAGCTTTGCTCTTCCGCTCCTCCGCAATCTCCTGCAGGGTCCGTATCCACTCATTGCGGTCTGCTGTGGGGCCAGAGGCGAGACGGGTCAGGATCAGCCTGGGCCCAGAAGCCCATGGGACTCATCCCATGGGCTGGGAAGGGAAAGCAGGTGGGGAACAGGGACCCCTGTCACTCACCATCATTCTCGGCCCGGAACACAAAGTTGCGGTTGTTGGTGACAACCTCAAATTTCTGGTCCCCGACGCTGGAGACACGGGAGATGGAGGAGACGGGAATGAGCCGCTTGGAGTAGGTATCCTAGGTCAGGGAGTGGGGAGACACGCTGCTCATGTCTGTGGCCTTGGGGAAACAGGGCAGTTAGTGCCCTGGATTCCCAATGCTCCAGCTCCAATGGCCAGGAGGCTGTGAGCCTCCCACACCTCATCCCCAGCACCCAGCCATGGCTGTTCCCTGGGATACTGACCCTTGGCACAGCCACATCTCCGAGCTGGGAGGCCCAGAGGGAGGTGACCCTGCTGGGGCACCTCCTCTGCCACCTTCTCATCCCAAACCCCCAGATCCATCCTCTCCACCCACCTTTTCACTGTCAAAATATCGGAGGTAGTCAGCATCAAGCTTCACCCAGCGCTTCTGGTAGATGTAGGACCTGCGAGGGAACCAGAGGGATCCATTGGAGGGGATGCCCTTGAACTCAGAATGATTCTGCTTGCGTGTTCACGCCCCAGTTGCCAAAAGCCTGGGGCCACCTCAGCATTGATCCTGCCCTGTGTCCCCAGCCCTCGATGTCCTCAGCCCTCCATCATGTGCCATGTCCCCAGCCCTTGATGTCCCCAGCCCTCCATTCTGCCCTTGGTGTTGGGTGTCCCCAGCCCTTGATCTGGTGCTATATCCCCAGTCCTCTATCCTGCATAGGGATAAGAGGCCTGTCCTGGCCAGCCCTTGAAGTCCCCAGCCCTTGATCCTGTGCCCTCATGTTGCTGTTGGGGATAGCAATGGGGATTTCATGCTTTCCTCCAGGCATCAGTTAAAATATGGAGCTGAGAACAAGGGCTGCCCCTAACAGCCAGGCAGGATTCAACCAGGAGACACATTCCAGGAGGGGTCAGTGGCACCAAAGCAGAGGGAGAAGCCATGCATCTCTATCAGGATGGGGATAGAGATGAGAGGCAGGACCCTCTGGGGTCTGGAAGAGAGCCCACCAGAGACCTCTTTGCCCTCCTCAGCTGAGGATGCAGAGCAACCATGCACAACAGGGAAAGGCAGGACACTCTTCAGCCCACCCCTTTAGCATGAGGGCTGCAGGAGGAGCCAAGCTGTTTCCCACACAGCTCCACAAGCCTTTCCCACAGCTCCACATGCCCCCTACCAGCATTGAACCCCCAGGTCCCCCTCTGCTGGTGGGGCTGCGGGCTGCTGTGGTGGCAAGGACACGGTTGCTCAAGGGCTTGTTTACTCAGGAAAGGTTTGCTGGAGCAGATTCCCAGGGACTTTCCAGCTGCTCTCACTTCCCCAGCAGCAAGGCTGCTCTGTTGCAAACAGCTGAGCTTTCTCCTCCTCCTGGTGGAACTGCTGCCTCAGGGCTTCCTTGGAGCTCAGATTAAGAAGCCTCTGTCACATCTCCTGCTTGATTGTTGCCTCTCAGCTAGTGCAGGGGCTCTTTGAGTGGGCTCCCTGTGCACACTGTGCTGGTTGTGCTCACTGCCCAGGGTTCACTAGACTCCCCAGGGCGATCACTGGTCTTCCCATGACTCCCTGGCTCACTTACCCTGGAGCACAAACACACAAGCCTAGCACTTCCCCTGTATTACTGTTGCACCACTCTGACTTTCCACCATAAGCCCGGGATTTGGGGCTGACATCCCATGGGATAGAGGCTATCACCACATCCTCCTGTGGCAAACCCAGCGATTCCAAATGCATGCCAAGCCCAGACACCCCACCTCATCCCTGACAGCTTCTCTTGTGGTCACTGCTATTCCAGGGCTCCCCCAGAGGAAAAGCAGCTCTTTTTTCCCAGTGATGCAGGATCTGAGAAGAAGCTTGAGCTGCAGCCTCCCCTTGTCAGCACAGTACAACAACTGGTGGCACCTGCTCTGAGAAAGGCTCTTTGACAAAAAATGGGTGTTTCTAATCTAAATCACAGGATAGAAGGGAGTGGAAGGAACCCCTAGTGATGGATTTTTGCCATACACCCCCATGAGCAGAAATTACAGGTGAGAAAAGGAGGGGACAATCACCCATGTCACACAGGAACCCCCAGTACATCACTCACCCCTGTGGTGGGTTCTTGTCCAGCCATCCTGCTCTGATGGTGGGTGACAGCGGGGTGGTGGCACTGGTGCCCTCCATGCTGTCACTGAGCGTGCCGGCGCTGCTGCCAGGGAAGGTGTCGGGTGCAGACGGGTGCAGGCTCAGGTCCCTGTCACTCCAGCTGCTGCCACCACTGGGGATGAGGAGCCGAGGGAGGGGGTTAAGAGCTGGCGGGTCCCAGGAGGGGCTGAGGTCCCCAGCATGCTTCAGCCTCCCTGTGACCTTCCCTGAGGCACAGGCAATGCAGGTCAGCTGTATGCAAGCAGGGACACTGGGGATGGTCCCTTCAATGGGGTCCCAGCATATCCACCAGTCCCATGGACAGCCCAGGCCTGAGTCCCAGCTCTGGGAGAGGGGACAGGGGCACCCCCAAGACCACAGCCCCAACCCAGTGACACAGAGCTGCTCTCTGCTCACACACACAGTCCCTGTGTGTGTCCATGTGTGTGCACTGTCGAGCTGTGCATACACAAGCCCTGACCTGTGCACTAACCTACCCTGCCATGCCCTCTCTACCTGTGCTCACACCCTCCACACAATCAAAAACAGCCCCTGGTACATGCACACGTACCCCTTGCCTACACACAGACACAGCATGTCACCAGCCTCGCACACAGCACAGCAGCCAAGCTCGTACTTGGCAGGGGGTGCATTGGGGTGCTCCTCGCCAAACTCATCTTCACTGAAGAGGCTGTTGAAACGCAGGGACCGTGGTCGCCCCATCCTTGGCTCGGCATCCTCCTGCAGAGACACACATGGGTGACACATGGGCTCTCCACGGTGCTCCCACTGCACCGTGAGGGTGCAGGGTGGATGGAAGGAGAGGGGACATGATGCCATGTCGCCAGCCCATCCCCAGCTCAACGGGTGCCCACGGTGCCAGGGTGCCCAGGAGAGGCATGCTGAGGCTCACAGAGAGAGGGAAGTGCAGTCAAGGGAGGAGCTGAACACTAGGATGGTTATTTATAGCAGCTAAAAATGTAGGAGCTTCATGAGAAATCTGTCATCGCCTCCTTGGCCCTGGTGTTCCCAAACAAAGGCAGGTGGGGGCTTCAGGTGCTCAGGGGGCTCTGGAGCTTCTGGGACTCCTCAAATCCATCTGATCCCATCCCAGAGAGCAAGGGAGGCAGATAGAAATTCACAATCCAGGGATTACATTCAAGATGCAGTGCTGGAGACATCTACTAGCACATACTCTGGGCATGTGAGTGTGGGGGAGCAGCTGTGGGTGCTCCCTGGAAACCCTGAGGTTCCAGCCCGCATGGGAGACCCAGGGGGTACTCCCTAGGGACCTATGGGAGACCCAGTGGGTGCTCAGTGAGGCAGAACCCCCTCTCTAGCCACTGCCAACATGCTCCTCCAGCCCTAACCAGTATCTCTGGAGCATCCCAAGGCTGGTACCTGTCCTGCAGGCCAGTCACCGTGCTAGCTCCTGCCCATTTCCAGCCCCATGGTGGGACCAACCTTGGCCATCTCCTCCGTTGGTCTGGCTAATTCCTCCTCCCACGCCGAGTCCTCGTAGTCTGAGTCATCTGACAAAGGAAAGATGCTGGGAATCAGCGGGGATAGAGCAAGAGGTCCCAATTCCCCCTGCTACCCTGAATCCTGTGGGGAGGATGATGCAGGCATGGCTGGCTTCCCCTTGCTTTGCCCTTCGCCAATAACGGTCCCTGTGACAAGAAGGGTTTTATCAAGGAGTTTGGGGAAGAGCTGGGAGAGGGCAAAATCCCGCTAGTGGCACCTCCCAGCACCGTCATGACATTCCTGGCCTCTCCAGAAGGGGACTTGGTGACACCAGCCCCAGCACCATGGCTCCATCCAGGCTCTCATGTCTCTGCCCGGGAGCTCCTGCTGCTGGTGGTTCCCAGGGGCTTTTTCCACAGCTTGTTTTCCAGGGTGAATTCCCCTCCCTCCTCTCTCATTCCTTATCAGCTCCTGAGCTTGTGCACCATGGAAATGAGATCCCAGAGGATGATGGGAATGAGAGATGGTTCCTCCTCACACAGACCACATGTCAGCAGGAAACCTGGTCAGGATTGTAAGCCCACAGGGAACAAGTGGCCCCAGACAGCCTGGCCCTGGCAGACACCCACTCCCAAATCCCACTGAAAATCTGGAGCAGGTTCTTCCCAAAACCCCAAACCAGATGATGGTGTTTGGGCCCTGGCAGCAGGTGAGGATGCTCCCAGGCTGCAGCGGGCTGAAGGGTGTGGGTAGATGCTCACCTTGGAACCACAGAAAGCCCCTGCAGACTCTGCATCCCAAATCCATCAGGGTGGGAGCAGCTTTCCTCTCAGCACCCCCTCCCTCTCCATGGCTTCTCCCAGCTTCTGAAACACACCCCAGCTCCCGGTTAAACCAGTGCTGCTTCCTGCAGGACTGCTGGCCTTGAGCGGCAGCCAGCACCCCATCTAACTCAGCGCTTCCTCTTCCTTCCATGGAGCTATTCCAGCTGAATTATAGTCCAACCAATGCACCCTGAGACCAAACCTTCACTCCCATGAGGATCCCCAGCTCAGCATTGCTCCCTGCAGTTGGCTGAGCCCCAGGGACACCCTGAGGATGAGGCTGGGGGATGCAAAGGCACAGTCCTAGGATCCCAGAACCAGGGACATCTCCTTTCCACTCCCCTGATGAGTTCACTTTTCCTCTGTGAGTGGGTGGGAGTGCTTCCAACACCCACAGAAACCTTTGCTCTGTCCTAGGAGAGGCTGCACTCAAACCCCTAGTCCACATCTTGCATCCCCTGAAACTCCAAACCTGGGTCTTAAATCCTTTCCCTGAAGCCCACCAGCTCAGACCTCACACACCCTAAATTTCGCATCCCAGGTCTTGCACACCTGACACACCCAGCCCAAAAGGCAAGCAAGGGGATAGAGGAGAAAGAGACCACAGCAAGGACAGAGGAACAAACTGACAAGAAGGAAGGCACAGCACCTGTAGGATGGATGCTGATGGATTGGCAGCCAGACATCCCAAAGGAAGATTTGTGACAGGGGAAGATTGGAGGGGCCCCCCTTGTACTCACCAAACTCTGGCACGAAGGGAAGGGTGACCTTGGAGGGCAGTGCTGGTGGTGTTGGTGTCTTTGTGCGAGGCAGGGGAAACAGGGAGGACAGGGTGACACCAGCTGCTCTTTCAGTGATGGGGACCTCCTCTTTGGCAGGGATGCTGTGAGAGAGAGGAGCAAGTACTGCCTTATGCCAGCCCCTGCCTCACTTCCCAACCATGATACACCTACAAGGGGGTCACAGATGATCCCCAAAAGGGACCAAACCCCAGCAGACCCAAACCCACAAACCAACTCGTAAGACCCCATGGCAAAGCCTTCCCCTGCTTGGGGGAATATGACTACTTTTCTAGCCTGGAAATGTTTTCCTGGCATCCAGCCTCACTCCCCTGTGTGTGCTCCATGGCTCAGGATCCTTATCTGACCCTGGGACACCCCAAGCCACCCACAGCCTTGAAGCCACATCCCAGAGCAGGTTGTTTTCCTTCCTCCAGTCTAAACAATTGCAAAGCCACTTCCTTAGCTGGTTTGCAGGTGGCCACAGGGTTCCTTGAGCAGGACGAGAGCCCTAGGGATGCTCTGTGTCACCAGCTTCCTTATGGTGGGATGGACACTGGAGATCCAGGTAGCTGCTATGGCAGCAAGAAATCCTGGAAATGGAGCTTCTCCTGGCTCAGTGAGCCATGCCCCCAGCCCCAAAACCTTGATCAGTGTGGAGAGGGACCATGGGGACTGTCCTCCTCTCCACAGAGCACCTGGGCTTAACCATTTCTACCTCTTGTTCCTTGCTTCCTGCCTTCCTGAGACTCAAAGGTGACAGGCAATCAATAGAAACCTCTGGGGTAATGGTTATTTTCAAGGGCAGGAGATTAAGAAGTTTCTCCAGGATATAAAAATACAAGATACCTTTGGAGCATTCCTGAATCCAGGGAGAGGGCAGAGGCAGTGGGCAGAATTTCCACACCAAGCCTCGGCAGGTGAGCCCCAGGGGACCTGCATGCTGGAACCATCCCCATCCTTGCCCCAGCTACCTCCCACTGTAGCCACAAGAACGAACAGCTGGTTAGATAGGATATTGGGAAGAAGTTCTTCCCTCTGAGGGTAGTGAGGCCCTAACACAGGTCGTCAGGAGAAGCTGTGACTGCCCCATGCCAGCAAATGTTCAAGACCGGGTGTGATGGGACTTGGAGCAACCTGGTCTAGTGGGAGGTGTCCCTGCCCTTGGCAAGTGGGGTAGAACTAAACAAGCTTTAAGGTCCTATCCAATCCAAACCATTCTGTGATCCCATGATACCTTGACCAAAGATGCCATTAGCACCCCACGGTTTCTGGGGATGTGCCTCCCAGCACCACGGCTCATGCATGAGCTTCCCCTTAGTTTGGGGTGAGCTGGAGAAGAAACTTCTCGCAGGCTGGAGCAGGAAGCAGGGGAGGATGGGAGTGCTGGCTCTAGCTGGGTCAGCCTGACCTCATTACTCAGCAGCTATTTCCATGGGAACCAGCCACAACCATCCATACATTAGGGAATGCTGGCAGGGAAGGAGCGGAGCATGGGCAGGGGAGTGTGGTCAGTGGAGCAGCACTGTTCCCAGCATCATCAGGCAGGAGCTGCTGGGGCACCCATGTGTGCAGAGACCCAGAGACATGGAGGTGACAGTACACAAGCCACAGAGCCTCCAGCAAGAGCCTGGCTGGGGTCTGCATCTGTGCAGCCACCCAGCACGGTGGTTGTCCCCTGGGGTGTGGTTGGAGGGCTCCAGCACAAACCCCATGCCCAGCAGCGAGATGACAAGCCTCAGGCCAGGACAACCCACATCTCCTGGATGGGGACTTCTCAGGAGGGTTTCTGGCTCAGCCCATCCTGTACAGCCCTTAGCCCCACCATCCCAGGGACCAGCAGAATGGGCACCCACAGAGCTCGGGTACAAATAACACCCCAGTTCCCCACAACACTCTCCCCACTGGTCTGCCTGCTCTCCATGTCATGATCTGCTGTTGTAGCATCCCTGGGCTTCATGTTCCCCCCATGGCTCCATGGGGTAGTGTGGGTGCCCTATCACCCTCTGCACCCCCTGGACCCCCATGCAGCCATGCCCAAAGGATGCCAGTCCTGCTCCATGAAGGGTCTGCTTGGTGCCACCTCTGCCATTAGAGAAATGGCAAACCAGCGCCTTACGTGCTGTCCTTTATCTAAGCCTCTCTTCCAAGGGGGACAGTGCTCTCCCACAGGCACCACCCCAAAACCAAACCTCTGCCCAGGCCACCACCCCTGCCCAGCTCACCCAACCCTCTGAAAAGGAGTCTTCTGTCATCACTTCCTTGGACATCACTTTCTACAACCCCTCTCCACCCACCAGCTGCTCAGGGGGCTGCTCTAATACCTAGACCATCCCCTAGGCATGGAGGGGGGGTGCTCCCCTCACTGACAGCCTCATCCCATGAGCAGGGTGCAGACATGAGCATCCACTGCTCATGGGACCCTCTGTGGGGTGTCTAGGTCTGAGCTATCAGTGGCCAAAACTGAGGGGCTCACAGCCCTGCAGCTGGCACTGGGAGGGCGGCATCAAGTCTGGAACTGGTGAGAGAGCTCCCAGTGTTGAACACAGTTGCTGCCATCAACCCATGGGTGGCAGTACCTCAGACATCCCACACCCAGCAGGGCTGGGATGATCCTATCACCTCCTGGCACAGCAATGCTTGGGGTGGCCAAGGGTTTGGGGGGATGGTGAGAACCCGGAGGTGAACATGGCCTGGAGGAAACCACAATATGGCTCTGCAAGCAGCTAGGAGGAAGCGCCAGGGACCACGGCAGCAGACCCGGAAATGAGGGGAGATGGGTGGGTGGTGTCACCTCAGAAATGCCCAGGTCACTTGCACTGCTCCCAGGCTGTCTGCATAGGCAGGGGTGCTCCAGCTCTTCTTCAGCCCTCACTCTCGGAGGTCCCTCCCCTGTGAGTACTCCCATCTTATGGTGGGGTCTCATTCCCACCCGGAGACAGGGCCAGACCAATGCAGCTGTCTCACAGCTGCTGGCAAAGAGCCCTGGCCCCAGCCTAGATGCAGTGAGCATCACCCTGATGTGGGCAAGTATCATCCAGACCTGGGCAAACATCACCCTGATGTGGGCATCAACTCAGCATCAGCAAGGATCATCCAGACATGAGCAACCATCAGCCCCAACACGGGCAAGCATCCCCCTCTGTTGTTGGTCCTTGGGCAGCCCAGCAGCATGCCCCCTAAACCCAGGCCTTTCATGTTCACTGGCTGCAGGCACACAGGTCAGGTGCCCCCAGGGGGCAGGAGAAGGGTTTGGAGCCATCAGCAGCACCCCAGGGCTGTGGAGCTCCCTCTGACCCAGTACAGGGCACTTTAGCCAGTCACCCATCACTCCAGGGAGCTCCAGTGTGGATAGCTTCCCAAGCTCCCAGTAGATGCTGCCCCACACATAGAGTCGAGACCAACACCCACCATAGGGTGACTCATACCCTCATCCTCCTAAATGCACCCCTAGTCTGTGCCAGCTGTCCTGCACCACCACATCTCCTCCATCCACGGGCATGGCACCAGCACTGGCCAAAGAGTCATAGAACTGTGGAATGGTTTGGTTGGGAAAGGACTTTAAAGCTTATCTCATGCCGTGGGCAGGGTTACCTACAGGTTGCTCCAAGCCCCATCCAACATGGCTTTGAACACTTCCAGGGATGGCGCAGCCACTGCTTCTCTGGGCAGCCTGTGCCAGGGCCTCACCATCCTCACAGGGAAGAATTCCTTAGGAAATTATAGCTCTTTATTTTTAAAATGTTCTCAAAACAAGAACCCACCTATAGTCAATATATTCCTAGTCATACAATTAAAGTGGCTTTTGAAATCAATTTTGGGGTTCAACCGGTTAGTTCTGAGCTTCCCAATATCTCCATATAATACACCTATAACATATTTATGGATGCACAGATATACTCCTACTCCTATATATTCACTACAGCATCAAGATCTATTTGAGAACTATATATGTACACACATACACCCATACATATTCCCTTTTGTCGCTACCAAGCACCAATACATATGTGTAATCTATATGTTATGAGTGCATCACAGCACAGTGCCAAGGAGCTATGGCCACCCACCTGTCCCACACTGGCACAGCCCCCGAGGCTCTGCCACGGTGACCTCAGAGTCCCCCAAGCCACTGGACATCTTTGTGTCCTGGGTGTGCCGTTCAGTCACCGCCGCCCGGCGAGGCCACAAGCCCACCCCGAGTCCTGCATGCAGCTCCCAAGGGAGCCTCGTGCACCCCCAGATCCCTCGGGGCAGTTCCAGGGGGGAATCCCGGCCCCCGAGTTCAAGCGCACAGCCTCCGGGGTGCCGTGCCAGGGCGGGCAGCGCTTGTTCCGCGGCAGAGCGCCCGTCCCCGGAGCAGCAGGGACTGGAGGACCAACAATGCCTGTGGGTACGCAGGCCAGGGCAGGAAACACCCGCTGGAGCCGGCAGCGCTCAATCCCATCTCCAGAATTCCTCCGCCCCGGCCGCCGCCGCCTGTCCCTGGGCACGGCACCGTGCCAGGCGTGCCCCCCTCCCTACCTGGGCAGCTGGCAGGAACCGCGCTGGCAGCGATCGGCAGCACGGGGAGGGCTGGGGGAGCCCGGCGGGGAGCGCAGCTTCTCACCCCGGCACTTCCTGCACCGCAGCAAAACTTCCTGGCGTGTCCGGCACCAAACACTCGGCACGGCCACTAAGAACCCACGGCACACGCAGTGGCAGAACTCTGGCATGGCTGGCACCAAACACCCAGCACGGATGGCACTAAGCCCACGGCACAGCTGGTGCCAAACCAGCGTGGCACGTCCAGCAGCAAGCCAGCACAGCTTGCACCAAAATGGCAGCCAGTGGCCTCATCGTGCCTGGGTAGCCTCCTGGCCAGGGCAGGATGGAGACTAGCTCCAGGAGGATCTTGGTGCAGAAATGCAGTGGTGGGAACAGTTCCTGGGGCGCCAGGACAGACACTGTTGATCCGGATTCCAAGGAGCCCCAGGGACAGGTGCTGCCCACCCCATGGCATGCCAGCCCCCCACATCAGCTTCCTGAGCCCCCTCCCCAGCTCAGCATCCCAGCCCACTCCAAACACATCCCAGCAGGTAGGGTCAGAGCATGGGCAGAGGGATCACCTCCACCCACCTCACCACAAAAACCCCACTGGGACACAGGAATGAGAAGCCGGAGGGGGAGCGCAGCCAGCAGCCCTCCCATTCTCATCCTGACTACACATGGGGTCCCATCCAGCACCTTCAGTCAGCACAAACCCAGCCCCACTCCCAGGACCCCCCTTAGGGGACCAGCTAGACACCCCAGCTCCAGGAACACATCCCTTAGAGTCTGTGGGTCCTGGGGAGGTTATGGGGCAGGATTCCTGGGGCGGGGGGGGCACATAGGCTTGCGCACATTCCCCCACCTCAGGAGGGTGCTGGAACCCAGGAGCTCATCCGCCCCCTCCAAACTGCACTCCCAGTCCTCACTCCGCATCTGCCTGCACTCTGCAGGATTTGGGAGTGTACTGGGGGGTCAGGACATCAAAGAGGGGGGGTGTGCAAGCACTGCTGTCCCCAAATTCCAGCCTGCTGCCATGTCATCTGGCCACAGCACCTGGCAGCAGCTTCACCCCATGCTCCCTGTGCGCTGTGGTTCACTGTCTTGCACCCACTGGTGTCAAGAGTTCTTGAGGCTCCTGCACTACCTAGATTGCAGATGGGGGCAAGTCAGGGCTCTACATTGTTGTGGAGACTGCATCCCAGCCCATGCCAGGCTGGGGAGACCTGGGTGACAGGGATGATCAGGGCGGATACATCCAGCCACAGCCAAAATAAATATCTCAGCACCCAACCCCCCTGCCCAGGTGCTGGTAGCCCGGGGAAATGTGCTATGGCCTGGGGCAGGGGTACCCCCAGGGGTTGTGCTGGGGTTGGGAGGAGGGTGAGTACACTCACAGAAAGTGCTGGGATTGGGGAGAGGATTAGTACACTCACGGGATGTGCTGGGGCTGGGGCTTACTCCCAGGAGATGTGCTGAGCTCTGGGGTGGAGGTACTCCCAGGAGATGTGCTAAGGTCTGGGGAGGGCATAGGTACCCCAGGCAACCCATGTTGTGTCCCTGAGGGTCCCACCCACAACACAGTAGCCCCCCCCCACAGACCTGGCTCATTGGGGCATTCCCAAGCCCATGTCCCTGCCACCCCCTTACCTCCTCTGGGACACGGCCCTGGGGGGCAGCACGGGGGGGCGGTCAGGCAGTGGGGGGCCCTTCAGGCTCTGGCACTTGGTTTCCAGTTGGTGTCTCTTGGCTGGCAGCGGCGGCAATGGGGGTCTGGCCCTGCCATCAGCAGGGGGCTTCTCCCCAAGGGCTGGCGGAGACGGGTCCTCCAGGGCTGGGAGATGGCTGCAGGACGCAGCGGGGGGCTCAGGGCTGCCCCCCAATAGTGATGGTGAGAACTTCAGGGGGGGGCGGCAGCCCACCCTGGGTGGGATGGGTGGGGGCAGTTGGGTGAAGCTTGCACCCCTCTCTGGCTCCAGCAGTGGGGTCCCACCGGGCACTGGCAGGCAACGGGGCTCCAGCTGCTCCGGCCGTGTTGCAGCGCTCAGGCGGAAGATGTGGCGTTTCATGGGGACAGGTTTACTGGCAGGGGGCTGCTGAGTCCCAGCGGGCGGCGGGGCCTCAACAAAGGCTTTCTGCAACCCCAGGAGGATGCGGCGGCGGTGGCCGGGCAGCAGCACCCCAAGGCGGGTGAGCTCCTCGTCCGTCAGAGCTCGGCAGTCCCACACTGACCACAGCTCACTTTGCTGGAAGCTCTCCACATACTGGTCGAGGTGGAGGGCAGACAGCCAGGCGGCCACCGGCAGTGATCCTTCCTCCTCCATGGCAGGGGGCTGGCCACAGAAACCCGCACCACTCAGTGCATCTTCCGTTGCCAGCGAGACTCAGGATGACATGAGGACCTGGGAATGGAGACAACAGGATCAGGACCAGTCCTGAAACACACACCATTTGAAGACTGGAGTCCCAAAACCAACATTCCCCGTGAAGCAACCTGGTTTTCCTATGGCATCCAACCATGCTGTGTCCCCAGGATCACCCAGTCCTGAACTGGGGGCCTGCAGGGGTGTGGAAATGCTGGAGAGTCCTGGTTTAGGCATTGAAATATAGAGGCCATCTGTTTAGAGGTGAAGGCACTGTGAGCCCCCAGCATGGTCCTAGGGAGTGACATTTGGGCAGTGGGACAGAGCAGTAGGGGATTATCCACATTGTGGATAATGAGGGAATCCCAAGGGCAGGGGAACTGTTGGCTGCACCTCAGGGCTGCCACCGTCCAGGATGCAGCTCCCCTGGCTTACAGCAGCAAGCCAGGATGGAGTGACATGGACAGCTGGATCCAGAAGGCTGTCCCCTCTCCCAGCCTGTCCCCATCACAGCCAGTGCCAGGGTGCTGTTGCTGGAGCCACCAACCCAAACTACACCAAACCCCTCCCCACAGACCTTATGCCCACCATGGCATTGTTCCCAGCTCCCGAGCCCTGTCTGTCTTTGGCATTGCTCTAGCATGGCAGCCTGGAGTGCTGACAGAGCACCTGTGCACACCTAGCAGAGTGCCCTTGTGGCATCCAGAGCTTGGGACATGAGGGCTCACTTGGTGTCCCAGCTCCTGCAGCAGAACACCCTTCACACACCATAGCTGTTGGCAGGGCAAATCCCTGTTATCCCAAGAAGCAGCAGATGGGATACCCTGCCCTTCCCACCCACCAGCATCATGGCCTTGGCAGGCTCCAGGCAGGAGGCAGATCCCATCATGTCGGCACACACAGCATCGCTAGTGACCCTGGCACCATCTTATTTTGGGTTTGCTGGAGGTTTTTTTAGACCTGCTAAGAAAGAGCCAGAGGATTTCCTGGAGCCGTAAATAGGCCAGTCTGATCTGCTGTCAGAGTCACGTTTACTGTGACTCAGGCAGGTCCCAGCCCTCGGCAGCACTTGCGGTTTCAGTGCAAAGTGCACAGCTGAGCAAGGCTCATCCTCGACCCAGCACTAACTGGACACTGCCGAGCCAGAGGCACCATGGGGTCCCCACAGCCAGTGACCCCTACACTTCGAGACACCAGCATCCCAGTGGTGCTGCTGGCATGTGGCCACAGTGCCACTTCCCTCAAACTTCTTGTCACAGTTCGGCTTTACTTCAGGCTCCAAGGACCAAGTGTCCAAGGAAGGAGCAACAGGAACCCAGGGCTGGCTGACCCCTGCGGCTCCTTGCTGGCAGCACCAGAGAAATCAGCAGCATGACAGAAATCAGCAGCACCCAGAACCTTCCCACTGGTCCCAGCAATCCCAACCAGCACTCCAAAAATCCCTGATTCAGAATAAAATTCTCTCTCCCACCTCCACACCTAGAAAGCCCTCATCTGTTATTGAAAATGGCTAAGTGATGCTGCTGGGTGACACTGCTGTCACCAGATCCCAGTGATGCCAGCACAGGCAGGCTCAACCCAGCTGGGCACTGGCTCTGGAGAAGCAGAGGGAAACACAGTGACACCAGTATATGGAGCTCCCACAAATGCCCCCCGTCCTGGCTAGAGCCAAGGAGCCACCACCAGTGTCACCCATTGATACCAGTGCCAACATCCCCAGTTGTTGTCCCAATGCCAGGACATCGATGCAGTGGTGGGGCAGACCTATCAGGAAAGGACAGCTGCACCAGCACTCACCACTGGCACTGTCCCAGCACTATCTGGGGTGGCTGAGGGCCCTCCTTGCTGCTCACCAGGGACAGGGACAAAACTCCAACAAGGGAAGCGCAGGATCTTCGGTGTGCCTGGCTGGCCCTTTGCCCTCACCAAGTAAATCATTCATCAGGCCTTTGCTAGGTTCCCTTCTTCAATCATTAATCATTTAACCTCTGTGCTAAACAAGACAAGGATATTCCAGAAGCAAAACCAACACAGGGAGATGCCGTAACCCATCTGGCTGCTGGGGATCAACCTTCACTGTGGCCCCTGCCAAGCCCAAATCCTCCCAGTGCTGACCCACTGCATTCCTCCCCAGGATTAAGCAACACCACAGGGGCTGTTTTGTAAGAGACTTAAAGGCTGGACAAATGGCGTGAGAAGGGAATGGCAAAGGCTGACAGCACCCTGGCACTGTGGTGCTGGTGCTCTGGGGGGGATAAGTCAGGATGCCAAAATACACGAGGACCAGACCCCTCAGCCCCATCCCAAACCCACACAACCCTCACTCTGCCAGTGCTGGGGATGAAGGATCTGGGGGTGCTTGGTGCTGGTCCCCTTTGTCTGGACCAAGGGGCTCAGCAAACCCCTCTACCCCCAAACTTGGGTACTGGCTGCTTTTCTGGGGGCTCCTGCAGCTACCCCAGCCCACCTCAGATGCCTTCAACTCACTCAACACAGCACATTTGAGATGCACTTCTTCTCCGAGCTGAGCATCCTGGCCCAGGCAGGAGCCCCCCAGGAAGCATGGGTGTGCCCACCCTCTGCATCCTACCACTGCTCTCAGGGCTTCCCAGCCCTCAGATGGGGCACTAATGAGGGCTGGGCTTGTTCAATTAAGGAGCTGTGTATGCCATGGAGTCTATGGGCTCTGACTGGGAGTGACAGGCGAGCTCCCTTCACTGGCTCCAGATTCCCCCAGGTAATCAGTGTTACCGCTAACGAGGTGCCAGGGATCGAGTAGTGTGACTAGGGCCATTAGTTTGTCACTGACAGAGCTGCACTCAGCACCCAAGCACCAGGTAATAAAGTGGTGGCCATCCCACAGCTCTTCCCTGCCTGTCCCTTTGATGGGACCCAAGATAATGGCCATGAGCCAGGAAAATCCAGCATAGGAGCCCTGTTAGGTGTCTGGCACCCACTTGATTGATCTAGTTCCCATTGCAATTCCTCCTCCCATGCAGGCAAACCCTGCCTACACCCCATGTTCCCCTTCCCCAGGTCTGTGGGCTCATTAATCAAAGAGAGATAATTACCAGAACATGGTCCCTCAGCTCAGCAGAAGGAGGTGGCTGGCCTGCCTGTGGTCCAGCTGGCGTGGTGGAGGTTTGCCCAGGGGTCTCTGCCTGCCCCAGTACTTCCTCAAACACCACCTCAGCAATAGGAAGTTTTCAGAAAGCCAAGCAGAGTTCTGAGCTGGGATGTGGTGCAATATCCACCCCAGGCCCCAGCAGAACTGTAAGGCCTCAGTGTGGTGATGCACCAACCACAGCCGCCGTAGGGGACAAGAAGGCCGGATCCTGAGGCGGTGAGAGCCCTGGGTGACAGAAGGACGGGGCAGGGCTTTCAGCAGGAGAGGAAGGAAGAGACAGGCAGGGTGATGTCTGGGAAGTGAGAGCTCACCACTACTGTGGCAGGAACCAGCTACCAAGGACGGGCTATTGTGGGGCAGCAGGAGAAGCCTGCTGGCCACTGGACAGAAAGGGACAAGCAGGCTGCCGTGTCCCACCACCCCGGGACCCCTGTGGATTCCCATGGAGGGCAGCAAGCTGTTACCCACCAGGATTCCTGTGGGCACAGGGGACAAAGCCGGGTGGCAGAAGGACCTGTGGGAACAGGGCTGGCCACCAGTGGCAGCGGGGCTCCTCAGTCGCCATGCTCCAGCAGCACTGGGCAACCGGTCTCACACCACAGCGATTTTTACCTTTTCCTGCCTAAATTAAGGAGAGATCATCAGACAAGGGGCCATGGCCATCCAGAATGAGGCCAATGCCACCAGTGTCCCTGCTGGATTCACCAGGGGGTGAATGTGATGTCCCCAACAGACCTATCTGCCAGGGCTACTTGCAGATTCCCCGCCCAGCTGGGAATCGAAACCCTGAAACTGCCCAAGCAGAATCCTCAGCAAGCAGCAAATACCCCAAAGCAAATGAAGAGTCCCAGGACAGCACCCAGCACCCCACAGACCCCTTCCCACCCAAACCCTCCAGACTCCACCTCAGTGGGTGCCCATCTGCTCAGCAGAGCCCAAGGTCTTCCTTCCTGGGAGGGTGAAGTTTTTTCATTTTCAAGATGTTCTCAGCCAAAGAAATTGCAAATGATATTCAAACCTCCCAGGTGCTGTTCAGGGATCAAGTTCAGGCTTGCAGAATCACAATCCAGAGGTGGAATTGCCTCTCTGAAGTCTCCTCCCTCTGCCATGAGTTTCCATCTCCAGATGGTTCATGTACAGAAGCCAGAGGGTGCCTGGCCCCCTGCTCAGGGGCCTGAGGGCTCACACACACACCAGGGTGTGCCCTAACATGGGAACCACCCCGAGCCGGTTCTGTGTGCAGATGGAGGGTGTGCTTAGAGGTAGAAGGTGGGCAGTGATGAGGTGGGTGAGAAGCCAGGGACAAGGGGGGAGGAAAACTGAGGGTTCTTCATTTCCCCAGGGTCCCACCTGCATTCTCCTTCCCCCATGAAAGTAAACCTGGGAAGGTGAAACATGTCCCAGGCTGTGGCATCAACAAACAGATGAGCTTCCCAGCATTCCCTTACAGAGCATTGCTGCCTGCTTCACAAATCTAGCCAGAAAAGGGGCAAATACAGCCAGAAATGAGCAAATCCAGTCAAAAAAGCAGTAAATCCAAGCAGAAATGGGAAAATCCACCCAGAAAACAGGTAAATGTATCTGACAATGCTGTTGCTACCCACTGAGTTTCACTGGAGTGCTCTCAGCTCCTGACACACTTTATGGAAGCTGTCAGCAAATTAGGTCAGGAAGCCAAACCTCACATGCACAGCCACCCCAGAGGAGCCCAAATGTCCCAGGGTCTGGCGATGCTGGGGGAGGGGTCTGTGCCAACAGCTTGGCTGCGGAGGATGGGTCCCCCTGAGAAGCATGGCACCTCCTTCCTCCGTGAGAAATCAGCCCCATCACCCAACATCCAGCACTGAAACCATGCAGGTCCCTGTTTCACTTTCTCGTAAGTGGGAAGTGAAAGTGTCATGGGAAAGGGGTGACCCCTCCAGCTGTGGAAGGGGTGTCCCCTTTTCCAGCCCTGATGCCCTCCCGCCTCCTCTTCATGCTCATTGGGGTGCAACTCTACCCCATGCACAGGCTCTGTCCCCAGCAGCAGGGTCACACCATACCAGGGCCACCCCCCGGATCCCCCTGGCCACCACAGCACTGCAGACAAGCCAAGCCAAGCCAGGGGATGCTGCAGCAGGGACAGAAGTACAGGGATCGACAACCACATGCACCCACCCCCACTTTGCAAAAACCTTTCTGCACAGCCAGGCTCTCCCTCGCTTGCAGATTTCGGGGCCCATCTGCCAAGTTTCCCTAAGCATCAACCTCCCCACCACCAGAGTTCTGCCACAGGAACTGCATCACTCCCTACATGGGGAGTATCACTCCCTGCCTCCCACGAGACACCCCCAAAATCTCAAGGGCTCACCTTGTTCTGAGGCTAAGTTCTGGCAGCAAACGCCTCCTCAGTATTGCTCTAAATATCCCTATCCCTGATGTCCTGGCTGTGACCCATAATAATGCATCCCCAGTAGCTGCTGGAGCACCCCCAGAAAACCACTATCAGCTCTTGGAGGAGCTTTCATTGCTACCTTCCTCCCAGAATAGTCACCCACCCCCAGCACTCAGCTCTGTGCCTCCAAAAATTGGCTTTTGGGGCTGAACCCACAAATTAAAATTGCTGTCCCTGCAATGGTGCTAGACCTAGGATCTGCATGATCCAGTAATGACAAGCTGGTTCCATGGGACACTTTCACACTGCTGGGGCCATTGAGTTGGTGTTTGGGGTGCCCAGGGGCTGCAGATCCCCAGCAGAAAACAAATCTGCCAGCTGGACCCTCAGCTTCACCCCCAGCATCAGCAGCACAACCACCCAGTGTTCCCCAACATGTCCCTCACCCCAACCAGGCAGTAGGACCCCCGCAGTGGCCCAGGAATGAGGGCTATCAGCAATGCCAGGGCTCCCTGGAGACTGGGACTGAGCTGGGTTATACTGGGGCTGAGCTGGGGTCTGCTGTGGGGAGCTGGGGTTAAACTGGGGTTAAGGTTAAGGTAAGATGTGCTGGTATTGAGCTGGGAAGTGTTGGGGTGAATTGGAATATACTGGGGAGGAGCTGGGATGTGCTGGGGGGAGCTGGGGAGTACTGGCATTAAACTGGGACGAGCTGGGTTTGAGCTGTGCTGTGCTCAGGTGAACTGGGGTATATTGAGGTTCAGTGGGGGTGTGCTGGGAATAAATTTGGGTCTGCTTGGGGCAGCTGGGGGGTACCTGGGGAACACCAGAGTTCAACTGGAGTGTACTGGGGTTGAGCTGGGATTGAACTCGGGTGTGCTGGGGGGTGAGCCGGTGTCTGGTGGGAGTGAACTGGGGTCTGCTGGGGGGAAACTGGAGCACGCTGGAATTGAACCAGGGTTGAGCTGAGATGTACTGGGATTGCGGTGGGGTGTTCTGGGGGTGAACTGGAACTGGAGCATGTTGCGGTTGAGATAAAATGTGCTGAGAGCGAGCTGGGGCATACTGGAAATTGGTTGGGGAGTACTGGGGCTGAGCTGGGGTCTACTGGGTTTAATCTGGGGCATGAGTGCCTAATCGCGGGGGGGAAGGGGGGGTGGCACACCGCTGTTGCAGCCGAGCAGGGGAACAATCCGTACTCCCCCCACCGCGCCAGCAGCTCCCAGTACCCCCGGTGCCGCCCCCCCACCCCAGCACTGTGTGCCCAGAGACCCACAGAAGCACGTGGAAAGAAACACGACCTCCCCCAGGAGAGAAACCCTGGCTGAGGAGGTGGAGTGCCCCCCCGAACCCCCACCCGAGCTGGGGTTGCCCCTGCAGCCCCCCTGGAGCTCCCGGTACCTCTGTCTGCTGGCAGCGGCGGCTCCCGGAGGATGCCGGGGCGCTTCCCGGGGCGGGGGCACTCAGGGCCCCCCTTGCCAGGCCCAGGCTTGTTCCCGCACGGAGCTTTGGCTGCCTCATGGAAACAGGATTCAAGGGGAAGACTGCCAGGACTTTCCCCAAAAAATAATAAATGGGTTGTGTGGGGGGGTTCTTGCCTCCCCACACGATTCCCAAGGTCTTGGTGGGGGGTAAGAAGGAGAGTGGGAGGGCTTGGGGACACGGAGGGGATGTGGGGTGTCCATGGCCAGCCCTCACGGCTGCCCAGCCTGGGACAATGGTCCTTTCATCCCGGCGCTCAGGGACCGGGACACGCTGGCTGCCTGCTCCGGGGGTGGGAAGGCCCCCCCGCTCGGCCCCTCGCCCACGCGAGGACACGGGCAGGAGGGGCCATGGCTCAGCCCCACAGTCGGGGTATGGTGCTCGGTGGGGCTCAGCCGGGGGGACGGTGTGAAATATCCCAAAAAGCTCCTCTATTGCCCGCATCCCCCCTACTCCTGGAATTGCCGCTCCCCCAGTCCATCGCAGCCGCCCGCTCCCCTATCCCACTCCTCGGAGCCATCACATCCCCCACGTTATCCCATCCTGCTTCCCAGAATCATCACATGCCCCTGCTCTCCTATCCTGGACCCTCGGGTCCATGCGGGGGTGAATACTCTCCCAGAGCCTTTGGCAGAGGATGAGGGTGCCATGGCCTCACCCGATTTGGGTGGTGTCACACAACAAAGTGCTGTCTGAGACCCCAGGGGCCAGCGGCAGTGCCCCAGCCTGATCCCCGAAGGGCTGAAGCCTCGTAGTCCTTCCCAGCAGCATTTCAGGGATCACCCATGTCAGTATCTGAGAATGTCCCCAGCACAATCCTGAGATCACTGCCCCCCTCCACATATCCTACCTGAGCCCCAGCTCTTCTCAACCCCTCTGGCACCAGGCATGTGCCAGAGCATTTTCCACCTCCTTTGGAGCCGTTTTTTCTCTCCGGTACCGCAACTCTGGGTCTCCGGCTGTACCTCTCAGAGCTGACAGACCTAAACCCTCCCCACGAGGGGCTTTACCCCATCACCTGCCCTGCTACATGTCCCCCTGGCTCCAGAGCCACTGCAGTATGTCCTGTATCCAATTCAGCTCCATTTTCAACCTGCCAGGGAGGGGGGTGGTGGCCAGGTTCCTTTTTAATTGGGTTCTATTTTTAATTGGGATCAGTGCAGGAGGGTGGGAGGGGGCGGAGGGTGT